TGCCTTGGCTACCGCTCTTAGCATGTGGCTGGAAGGCTGGGTTTGCAGCATGCGGATGGTAGTCGCGGATGTGCTGGGAATGGACATAGTTGGGGTGAATGAGCGGCTGCTCCTGGGGTGGTGGGCGTGGTGGTAGGCCGCTTGGTGGCGCACCAAGAGCCGATGCAGTCAGAGGAGAGCTTAAGGATGAAACGTCTTGCAGCGTGTGGTTTGCAAGCGATGGGGAGTCCGTGGTGGGTACAGTCATGCTATCCGCTTGGGGTGCGGTGTTTGCGGCTGCCGTAGGGGCGGTGGAGGGTGCGGTTTGCAGAGTGTCTAGCAATGCCTGGACATCCACAGCGTTGGGATCAAAGGCTGGCAGGGTGGCTGCGCTAGACTGCGCTTGGTCATCAGACTGTGATACGGGTTCTTGGGCGAAGCAAGCAGAGGTTGCATCTGCAGTGGGCGCACTGGGATCAGAAGATGGTTCCGGTGCATTGAGAGTGGCGAGAGGTGCACCTTCCGCGACCTGTGCTTGGTCGTTGGCTGGGTCGTAGGAAGAAGAAGAAAGCTGATTCGGCTCAGGCTCCAGTACTTGAGGTGGAATGAGGATTGCATCAGCGTCCGTAGAGGCTGATCCAGCGCTATGTGCTTGCTGCTCTGCGGGTATGGCCACTCCACCATGCTCGTTCGTATCGGACTCCATCGCCATCACATCCTCCGCTCCGGTCGAGTACGGAGTCATGTGGTCCATCGTGGTGTCTTGCACCTCACCACCATAGTCCTGCTGCTGCTCTGACTGCTCTGACTGCTGTTCGCTGGGATCACGCCAAAGGTCGGGTCGCACGTCTGTGTTGCGCGAAGCTGGATCATTCATGTGTGGTTCGGTCTGGTTGAAGCCTACGTCATGCTGCATTTCGAGGACGGGGATATTGGTGGGAGTGGGGAAGTGGATGGGCCTGGGAGAAGCAGGAGAGAGAAGACTGAAGTCGTTGCGGTAGTGAGGTTCCTCGGGGGGCTCAGAACTCATGTGTGTCGTCTAAGAGGTGCGCTTCAGCGCGATGCTGGTGGACTAGTTTCGACGACGCTCTGAGGAGGCCTTCTTCATAGTTTTATATGGGTGATGGGCTGGTAGGTGTGACTGCGCAGGGTGGGTGGGTTATTGCGACGGCGGTTCAGGAAAGATCGAGGCCGACAAGGGACGGGCTGGGTACGGTCAATGATGATCAAGATGTAAGCTCGTGGTCGAGGTGGGAGATGGAGTGACGATGATCACAGTGCAATGTTGGGGTGGTGAGTTTGTGGTCAGACGCTGGTGAAGTGAGGAAGGTGCAACCCCGAAATCTTCGGCTCATGATTCCGTTGTGCGCTAGTGCTCAATTGGGAAGGTGCGACCAGCAGAAATATGCAAGAGCGTCTTTGTGAAGATTGTTTCTGTAACATTTTTTGAGATGGACGCTTCTACCAACGACGACGGTTTCAAATGGTTCGGAGAAGGCTTCGATGGCTTCCCAAAACGACTGCCAGACGACTGCGTCGAATACATGATATATGTCATCGATGAGAAACAACGACAGAACAGCATCTCCGCCACGCGAAGCAGGCTGAACCAGGTCTTGAAAGGGGCCAACGATCTGAAGAAGACGCTACTGAAAGACTACATCTGGCAGCGGGATGCATTTGAACTGAAGCTGTATCCTCAGGTGTCGTCGACGATATCACGAGAACCAAGCAAAGAGGACCCAGACAACAATCCGAAAGCACCACATCTGAAAGGACGAACAAATGTCGGCGACTCCATAGCAGACGAGTGGCTCATCGTCTACCTCCTGCTCGAATTGAGCAAGCAGTTGCCTGACGCGTGGATCCGGGTCTACGACACCGATGGCGAATTCCTACTCATCGAAGCGGCCAGCGCCCTACCGAAATGGCTGAACCCCGACATAGCAGAGAACCGTGTATGGATTAGTAACGGGCATTTACGCGTCATACCACTGGGTGACGGTCATCCTGGCTCACGGAACCTAAGCGCTAAAGAGGCACTGGCCTTCATTTCCAACTCCCCGAACAAGCTGATCATAAGTCCTTTCGTCGAAGACGAGGCCTTCCACCGGATACGAGACTATCCTGCTGCCATCACTTCGTCTCTTCATCACGCTCTGTTGACAGTACCGAGGAAGCTAGCGTATATACTACATCATAGCCCCTCCTACATCAGTCCAGCTATCGAGTCCTTCTACCTCCGCGACCCGGTCTCCCTCAGGCCGCTAGCCACCAAGGACATCTCAAACCTACTGTTCAGTCCTGAAGATTTTGTGACGGTGAGCGTCAAGTTCACTAAAGTCGGCTACGCCCAACTGCGAGGTCAGATCTTCGAGGCGCCACCTGCCTGGACTGGCGTGTTGCCGAAGCTACAAGCTGGAGATGCGAAGGTCGAGATGGGGATGAAAGTGGCGTGTGGGATGGAGATGCTGATGTCTGATCCGCAGTATAAGGACAAGAAGGACGTTCGAGAGATCAACCTCTTGCTCGAGGATATCGCGAGCGGCGAGGAGACATTGCCTTCAGACGAAGGTATGGCGGAGTGGCCGCAAACACAGGACGACGAGAAGTGGCTTGATATTGATTATAACGATTTTGAGAAGGAGTTATCCGGCCAAAAAGGCGCCAATGGAGAGAAGTCGAAGCAGTCTGCTGGGGCAGGCTTCGGTGACAAGCACGCTCAGGAGAATTTGAAGAAAATGGTCTCGCGCTTTGAGGACTTCCTGAACGACGACAAGGCTGGAGCGGACGGCATCGACGACGACGATGTTGACGATGATGAGTCGGAAGCATCTGGATCAGATTCTTCTGATGGCGAAGACAAAACCGCTTCCTTCGACGAAGCGGAGTTCGAGAAAGCAATGAAGGAGATGATGGGTATGCCACCAGACGAGCTTGAGAAGCATGGTCTCTTGAATGAAGCACGCAAGCTTGCGCTTGAAGATTCCGAACAACCTCAAAACGGCAAAGACGAATTAGACGTAGACGAGGACGAGGAGATGAGAAAAGTCATTGAACTCATGGAGCAGGAACTTAAAGGCCACGGTGCACTTGATCTGAGTGACGGTATGCTCCGGAAGAAGAATCCTCAGCAGGGTACCAAGTCGATGTTCAAGGAGCAGTCAAAAGCGGAGCCGCAGAAGCAGAAGCAGAAAGTGCACTTCGGTCCCGAGCGACCACCGGATATGCTCGCGAAGGCAGAAGAAGCCCTCGAAAGTGCGGACGAGGAGATCGGGCCCGGCGACGGTGAGTTGAGCTCCGATGATGGGGAGTTTAATGATGTGGATCTCGGGCTCGCGAAGAATATGCTTGAGTCGTTCAAAGGCCAGGCTGGGATGGCGGGACCGGCGGGCAATCTGATGAAGGCGATGGGTGTGAATATGCCTCGAGACGAAGGGAGTGAGAGTGAGTGAGTGAGTAGCCCGCTGCTTGCTGTGTGCTAGCGGTTTTGAGAGGTGTTAGTAAACGTCTCGAAATTCGTGTTCTCCGATATCAGATTGAGCTTCAAAGAGTCTACTTTCGCTCGGCAATGCTGAAGTCTATGCCATATGGCTTGAGAAGGCTTCGGGAACCCGTCCGCCAATCTCCTTCTCAGTCATCTCCGCGCGGCGAAGCTGGAAGCGGGTCATGCACTCTCTGATCTTGGTCTCTACCTCTGGCAGGGGCTCGGAGAGAAAAACGGCTGCTTGATCGGCGAGCTTGCTGCTCGGTCCCCTCCCCTCCGCATCACCCGAGCCAAAGTGAACCTTCTCCACCCCCCCTTCAGGCGCGGTGCGACTACAGTCGCCGCACTGCTCACCCTCTACCACCTCCATCCTCGACGCCGAAGGGCTAGAAAATAAAGGACACCGCGACCCACAGCTAGGCAAGCTGTCGGCTGGATCGAGGACCTTCATAATCATGCCGCTCAACAGCATCCGATACCACCTCGACCTCACGCTCCCGTTAAGCGTTTGGCCTTCAGCCCCGGACTTTTCGCCGGTCAGTCATTGCTGGAGTCATTGTGGAGCGGCAATGAGGCGTACTTAAGCTGGATCCTTCCGGGAACGGCCAAGCAGTATTCCTCAGCTCAAGAACGAAGGGTGATCACACACTCCTACCCGACAACCCGATGCACGAGAGTGCGCTTAACCTTAGGCTTCAGGAGATGCGTGATGCAATTGGCCTTTTCCAAAGGGATACGATGCACTCGTTGCGTCGGACTGCCATCCTGGAGACCAGGCGAAAGGAGGGCACCAAGCTCGCACAGGAGTTGGCGCACCACGATACGGGCGGGCAATCCATTTTCGCGTGCGACAACGAAAGCCTGGAGGACTACGATCTCGCGAACGAGCGTCTCGACCTCGATAGTGTGAGCCGTGCCGATCTTCGTCGGATGTTCGTGCAGGCGAATACGGCCCGCGTCCAGGAGGATATGGCTCCTGCATTTGTCGAGAGTCCTGAGTCACTACTACAGCATCCCAACGCCGAATGGAAACGCAGGGCTCCTGAAGATCCGGAGTCTACTGTGCTGCACGATCGAGTCCGCCCATATTACTAGCAAGCAGAACAGCACTTGGTAACTTTGGATTTCGCTCGAGCGCTGCTTTCTGGGGACTACGACTACAAGGATCAACTACGTCAATTAGGACAGATCGACGTACGCTGCTAGGAAATCCTCCAGATGATCGAAGCTATACCTGCCAAGCGTAAGTTGGCGTTAGCCCGTCTCAAGCATAAGCACAAGCAGGCTTATAAAGCAGAGATGCTCCGAGAGGCCAAAGATATGCATGAACAGAAATCTACTCATCGGGCAGGCCATCGCGACGAGGGATCTGTCCACCCAACTTGAGTCTTGGCACGCCAAGCCAACTTTCGAATGTCCCAAAACGGCCAGAAACACACCGTAATTCAACCACATGCCTTCCTGAAGCCTCCAATACATGCAAACAATCATAAAAAAGTATACAACAACATAGATGCAAAAGATTAGAGTTGTCTCTCCCCTCCAGGGTTCGAACCAGGGACCTCAAGATTACAATTCCATTACAGTCTTGCGCTCTTCCAACTGAGCTAAGGAGAGTACATCCGCGACTGAAGTCGCAGCTTAGCTTACTCAACGAAATTTCTTAGTATAATATATTCTATACCCGCTTTCAACCGCGGTTTTTCCGAAGTCTGGAGTCCAACCATGGTAACGCTCTACTGGTTGTGGACCTCGATAAAATGCGTACCCTGAACTTTGTATCATGTACGAAGAACGAACGCTTCTGTCACATACTTTCAACCACAATCAAGTACAGTGGCATACAGAATCGGAATTCTTGATTTAGGACAGGGAAATAGAAAGCAGCCTTGAATTCGGCAACACCGTCGATTTACGGTTCATTGTGCCACACGTCTATAATAATCAACTATTCCCTCTCCTTCTTCGCTGTCCGCGGATCCAACACTTGATCCACTATACCCCATTCCAACGCCTCCCGCGAACCCATGAAGAAATCCCTCTCCATCACTCTCTCGATCTCCTGAAGCGAATGATTCTTCGTCAAGTGCTTCTTGTAGATCTGGTTCAACTGCTCCCGCACTCTCAAGATCTCCTTCGCGTGTATTGCAATATCACTTGCTTGACCCGAGTACCCTCCACTGACTTGGTGAACCATTATCCTCGCGTGCGGTAGACAGAACCTCGAACCCTTCTGTCCTCCACACAACAGCAGACTACCCATCGATGCAGCTTGTCCGAGACATATCGTTGTCACTGGTGCTTTAATATATTGCATCGTGTCGTATATCGCCAACCCTGCTGTAACGCTACCGCCCGGGCTGTTGATGTATAGATTGATGTTCTTGTCTGGGTTGTCGCCTTCGCAGCTGAGAAGTTGCGCAACTATGCTGGCAGCAGTCGTCTCGTCGATTTCGCCATTGAGGAATATGATCCGTTCTTTCAGTAGTCGGGAGAAGATGTCGTAGGTGTGCCAGCCGCCTCCCTGCGCTGTTAGTATAGAGTGGTACTTGAAGTACGACTATGCTTACAGTAGTCTCCGTAACGAAGGGCATGGGAAGTGCTGCTTGCGGTGGTCGGGGTTGCATCGCATCGTGTCTTTGTGGGAATGGTGAGAATGATGATATACAGCGAGTGCTTGATCTGGGCCCATGTCTGCGTATGTGTGAGCGCGCTGCGCGCAGGACTGTTCTTGATAACGGCTCCATGTTGTGGTAGGTGTTCGAGTCTCTCTAGAGCTGCAACTTCCAAATTGAGCGGCGCCGATCACTGCCCAGAGGAGATGTTTGCCGATCACTTCACTCACTTTCGGGACCACTACTGTATACACTGTGACACCAGACCCGGCATGAGATCACTTCATGCTCAATGCTAGATGTCCGAAGGCGCTGCGATCCTCACCCACATTCTGGAGGATTCGAAGGTATGGACGATATGTCGCTCAGGATGCCCGGTCGAGCTTCAGGACTCGAAGCGTTCTCCCACCTCGTGAACAGCCTACAGTGATCAATGAAGACGGGACGAGAACGTTACGACAACGCCAACATGGCAACACAACGCTCCCACTTCCTCCTCTCATGGACCCAGTGGCGGTACAGGCCAAGGAGCGGCACAAGCAGCCCAAAGCACTACGGAAGCCTGGCGAGTTGACCGACTTCCAGAAGGAGCTGGCAAACAATCCATACGGCGAGTCGTTCGTAGAGACTCTGCGAGTACGCCTACAGGCTAACGTCTAACGTAGCGCGCGCACTCATGACTCCTATTCGACAATGCCAGTTTACAAGTGCTCGGCTACCGTCTCATTTGCTCCAGCGCTATTCTGCGGTGTTCGAACCGGTAGAGTCCAATGAAGGCCGACTAGATGCGAGCATTGTGCCTCAACCATCGAAACCTTCGGCGCAATCTGGGACTATATATGGACCATCTTCGAGCTATGTTATCAGCCATTGCAAGGCTGTGGAATATCTGAACACCAAGAGGCATTGGGCGCAGCTCGTTACTGGAAGGATGCGAGAGGCATACGACGCTAGAGCGGTGGGCAACAAGGCGTCGGCGACCAACAAGTGGTACAAGGAGTGGCACCGCGATTCGAAGATGCCAGATACCATTCTCAAAATGCTTAGATCGGACGTCACCGATGGGATCGAGGAGGTGGTAGGGAGTGAGGATGGTACGAGATATCTCATTCCAATGGACAAGCTCCAAGGACTTGCGTCGTTTGCAGCATTGCCAACGGGAGTGGCGTCTACACATCACAACCGATCTGCTACTTCGATGGGCTATGTGGTGATTCCAGCATACCGACTTGATCATTTGCTCGATGGAGACCTGCTAGCTTCTACCCAAAGGCAAGAGGAAGTTGATAGATTTCGCCATGTTGGTGTTATACAACACACGAAGACTGTAGCACTACATCTGGCTCTGCGTCGACTTTGCGCCTACTTGCGCGATGAAGAGAGTGAGACTTTGACGAGTGTCTCTCACGCAGAACTTGCACGGATGGATCAGGAGCGATGAGATATTGTTAGGAGTGAAGAGCCTGCGGCGGGGTCGGAAGCTGATGCCGACCATGTGATCTGCTCTTCACATCTGCTCTTCACATCTTCACATGATCCGAGCTCGGACCACCGCATGACTTCATTATGCCAGATTCACCAAATTTCCACACCTACCACTGCACCTCTTCACCACCAACGTGCCGTGTGAAATAACATGTCGCTCCCGTCGCACCGTGCACCAGATGGTTCCGCCACGCAACAGGTGGCTTCGACAAACCACCACCAAAGAGCAAGAAAGTGCCCAAGATCGTGGAACAGATGAGGCAGGGCATGAAAGATCCGAAAGTGATGGAGGAAGTGCGAAAGTTCAGTAAGCGATCGCCCCATAGTCTACTTTACCTTTACGTGCTAACTATTGCATAGGTGAAGAGCTCAAGATAGAGCAAGCGGAGGAGTTCGCGAAGGTCCGCAACCTGACATGCCTGCAATGCAAGCTAGATGGGACCGTGCCGTACACCAAGAAAGAGGTGTACTACAATCGCGCGGAGCTGGACGGACATGTGAAGGAGGACTACCACTCGCGCAAGGCGCAGCTAAAGCGCGCGTATGTGATTGATCACGGTGAGGGGAAAGGAACTTGCACGCTTGGCGCTCGAGAGTGTGCATCGAGCGACGACTTCATCAGTCATGTCGAGTCAGCACATGGTGAGCAGTTGGCCATCTAGAGCACAGAGACTGGTTCGAGGCTGCTAGATGTCGTCTGACACACGAATTCAGATGCTTCAGTTGATTCATAAAGATTCCCAACCTAACATCTCGCTCACTTTCCTGTAAGACCTCATGGCCCTCGTAGCAAACTCAACTGGAACGCTTTCACTCTTCTCCCCAAGAAATCTTGAGAATATCTCCATACTGATCCAACCACGATAGCCCAGTTCGTTCACAATCGCCTCCGTGATCGAAAGAACTGGCAGGAACCCGCCCAATACCTCCTCGCAAGGAAACAGCCTGGCGTTGCGAGACCAGCTCATTCGTGCTGGCTGTCCAGCTTCATAGAATTCGTGCCCTTCCACGAGCGGGCTTTCAAGCTTCTCGGCATCCGATAACTGGAGGTAGAAGACCTTCTTCACGTCGACTTCCTTCACCAGCTTTAGGAGCGACTCCACCAGATCCGCCTTCGCGTTCGGCATCTGCCCGGACTCTGAAGCTGGATCCGCAAAGACTCTGGCAGCGATATGATAAGTATCCAAGCAAAGGCCAAAGTTTGAGCGGTCGACCCTCTGCACTACCTCCCAGCTCTGCTCCCAGAGATCGATATGAGCACCCCACGATAGAGCCTCATATGCCAGTTTGACAGCCGGATCGTGCTTTGCGGCGAGGTCAGCAATCTCGACCATGTCTGCCACAACCTTGTCAAGGTCGCCTGTGGTGCCGCTCGCCGTGGCATTGCTCGGGATCTGAATGGTATCGCAGCCTAGTGCTTTTGCAATGTCAAGCCAGCGCTCGAATCTTGCCACCATTCGCTGGTGTAGCTCGCTGTCGAGCAGACCATCGTAGTGAGAGAAGGGCTGGAGAACTATGATGGTTAGGTGGAGCTCGTCGCATTGGCGCTTGATGTCCTTTGCGGCTTCGAGAAGTTGGTGGTGCTCGACATCGTCGGACTTGGTTGGAAACCGTGAGATGGCATGATGGACGAGGTTATTGTAGCAGATCTCGACACCTTTGAGTCCGGCGCCAGCTATAGCCTTGAGGATGGACTCGATGCTGTGGGTTCCTGGTTTTCCGATACTAATAGTTGCGGTTGCCGGGGCTAGAGGAGGTGGTGGTTGCGACATGCCGTGCGAAGACTCGTCGGTATCCCGGCGCTGAAGATAGGAGATGGAATTGGTTTTAGAATATATGGGAATTGACAGGTAGGAAATGCTCACGTCTTTGATCTCGAGTTGCGCAGAGGCAGCCAAGCTCTATCAACAAGGAAGTGGGTATGATCTTATCCGCAGACTATGGTCGTCAAGGTCTCGAACTTCACACGGTCTGCCACGTTCGATAGTGTCGAATTCGAGCCCGGAAAACGTGCCCGACATTTCACGAGAGAATGAGTGTCGTAAGGTAAAGTAAGGTGGTTGTGCTGGGGTCGTTTTCGGAAACCGCGACTTGTGCCGAGCAGTCGAAAAACGCGGTTTCCTGCTCGCGTTTCCAAATTTTGAAGATTTCCGGAAGCTCAAGAAACGACATATGACTTGATACCGTGCGCACTATCTCGACTACACCACCGTACTACCGTCCACAGTCCACCCGCTCACAATCGGACTGCCATCATACCCCACTGAACAGCAGCCAAAATGTCCTTCGGCGGGCAGACGCCGACGATCATCGTTCTTAAAGAAGGTAGCCTTGAACCAGAGCAACACATGCGATCTGCACACCCTGACATACCACAGGCACCGACCAGTCGCAAGGACGAGGACAGGTGTTATCCAACATCAACGCCTGCTTAGCGGTTCAAGCCACCGTGAAAGGCACGCTGGGTCCATATGGCGGCGACTTATTAATGGTCGACGAGAATGGCAAGCAAACAAT